TTTTTTTATTTAGTGCTGTGGCTCACGCTTTTTTTTTTTTTTTTTTTTTGTGGTACACGGGCCTCTCACTATGGTGGCCTCTCCCGTTGCGGAGTACAGGCTCCGGACGTGCAGGCTCAGCAGCCATGGCTCACGGGTCTAGCCACTCTGCAGGATGTGGGATCTTCCCAGACCGGGGCACGAACCCGCGTCCTCTGCATCGGCATGTGGACTCTCAACCACTGCGCCACCAGGGAAGCCCTTTGCTTTTGGTTTTGATCTTCTTTTGAAATACTGTTTTTCTCTTTTTCCCTTCTCTCCACATAGGAGGAAAAGAGACGTAGAGTTACATCCAGAGAACGGTAAGAATAATAAAGCTTTTTGTTCTGTGCAATATGTAATCTTGATGCCTGAAATTACTTTTCTGAAATCTTTTAAAAAGAAGAACTTTATAGTGAGTTGCCAGGGTGACCATAGATAGCTTAAGGATGCTGGGCTTGCAGTCAGGTTATTAACCTTGTGATTCAGGTAGAATTCTCTTGCAAAGAGTGAATTGGGGGCAACTGGCAGTTATCAGAACTAGATCTAAAGGTTGTATTAAATATTAAATCTCGAGGTAAGATGTGCCTTTTAGGGCTCCTGAGATGAAGATTGATTTTTTTTGGGGGGGGCGGTGGGTGTAGGTAGGAAGGAAGACCTTTTGAAAACTGCCTCCACGGGAGGAGTCTGTGAAAATCATCCTTAGGGTGTGTGATTTTACTTGACAGGGTTGCTGGACCGCTCCCTGCAGAAGAACCGGGAAGAGTAAGACCAGGAACACACGTGGAAGAAGAAGAAAGAGATGATAAAGTAAAGTCTGGTCACCCCCAGGTTTGTCACTTGCACTTTAATCTCAGAACCCGTTTGGTTCTCGGAAGGGGGCTCAGGGTGTGGGCAGTGTGTAGGAAGAGAATGACTTTCACTAATGATCAAAATGACCTTGGATTTAGCTAAAATGCTCTTCAAACTCATTTTTCTGCTGGTTCTCTATGTGGAAGGTGTGTTACGTGGCTCTGGTGATAGTAAATCAGCGGTAGGCCTGGAAGTCAGCTGGACCTCTGCTACTTGATCAGTCAGTCACAGAGCTTCAGTCTGTCCCCTCTCCTGCCTGTCTCCTGCCCATGAGGTCTTTGTGAAGATCTCATTTTCAAACACAGGAGGTGCTAAAGTGCTCTAGTATCGTCCAGGTATAAAGTTGCATTCTTAACTGAGATCAGACCAGTTCTTTCCCCAGACCTCCAGCTCCTTTGTAAAATCAGAGTTTCAGGTTCTATGAAATACAGATGTACCCACTGAACCCCCATGGGAGGGGGTAGGAGAAGGGATTGGGGATCTGATAGTGGAAGCTTTACCATTAGACAGCACTGCCCCATATGACAAAGGGCTAACATTGGTCGGGCACAGGTGGTAGAACAATATCACGTCCCTTTTGGTTTTATTAAGACGTTGCTTAGAAGTTTCAGTTCAGCAGAGGGGCAGCACCCTGGGCGGGGACTGGGCCTCCACCATCTATGGCTCCTTCCCTCCAGCACCCAGGCTAGGTACTCAGTTCCCAGCAGCCCAGAGGGCAGGAACAGAGCTCTGCCAGGCTGGCCTTCTCAGAGGGCAAGTGTAAGCAGCACAGCCAGGAATGTGAGCGACAGGCTTTGCTGGGTTGTCGGGAAGGAGGGCGACGTCTGGCTCGGCATGGCTGGAGTCAGCGCTAGCCTCCCCTCGGCCATGGGCACTGGGTCCCTGGTCTCAGGCTCACACAGGGCTCCAAAGCCCTTCCCTCGGGATGGCACCCAGACCCTCCACCCAGCTCACCCTCCCGCCCCAAACACCAGCAGGTCAAGCACCACTCAGAGAAGGGGGCCTTTAAAGGGCTTTAGAAAATCTTAGACTTCCGGATATGGAAGCTACTGTGTTTCACTTCTGGCTGAGAGCTCTGCTCCCAGAGCACAGGATGGCCCAGGGGGGCGAGATGGGAGGGTCTTGCTGTGACCACCCCAGGCACCGCTGGCCTTTTTAGCCACATGCCTGCCTTCCTTGGAAATACATTTCATTAACAGCCAAACGGAACATCCTGAGAAAAGAGAGGAATTATTGGTTCGTTTCAACCCTTAGCAACACCATGTGTATATTTCGTCTGCTCTCTGCGATGCACTGGAACTTACCTTTGGGCAAAATGTGCCTCAGCTGTCCAGGGCACCCGACACACTTGGCGACTCTGCGGGAGCGCCCTGGGCCCCAGGGACAGGGTCCCTCCTTCCTGACCACCCCCTCGTGGGAGTGCTGAGGCTGGTCAGCCCCCAGCCCTGGGGGCTCAGCTTTCCCTCGGAAGTAACTGCGAGTCAAGCTCCCCACCGACCCCCGACCCCCTGGTCTCCCTCCCGCCAGGGCCGCTTCGTGTGCGGTTCCGGTCGGACCCTCCTCAGGGGGTAGGTGTCGGGGAAGCCCCGAGGCAGGTGCCCTCCCGCACCCTCACGACTCGGTGCTGCTCCGGGTGGAGCCCGCGGCCGGGGTGGGCGGGGGGCAAGAGGCGCGACGGGGGTGGGAAGGAGACGGGGCCACGGGAAGCCCACCCCGGGCCGGCCGGGGCGCAGAGGCAGGAGGCGGCGAGGAGGGCCGGCCCAGCCGCGAAGCCCGTGCCTCCGCCCTGCCCGGGACCGAGCGGCCTTCAGACCTCCCTGTCGGCCCCTGGGCTCGGGGTGGGTGACGGGCACGCCGAAGAAGCCATCCCGCTCGAGCCGTCCAGAGAGGCCGGCCCAGGGCTTGTGCCTGTTCCCGGCGTGGGGCGAGCACTGGGGCATGAGGGTGTGGAGCTGTCCGGCCGCAGGTCACAGGCTTTGCCTGTTGGAAGGGAGGGCTGCGATGGGGCTGTGCCGACGGAAGGGGAGGATGGAGCCGCCCACAGTCCCCGTTTGCCAGGCAGAGCTTTATCGCGGACCCTGTTCTCAGCAGCCGAGCGCAGCAGGGACACCCAGGCCTGGGGAGTCTGCGCCCCACCCAGGGCCGCTGGGTTCCTGTGTGGCAGCCCCGCCCATCATCTCCTGCTGAGAAACCCCCAGAGACTGTGCTCCTTCCCCTGAGCCCACCGCCCCGCTGCAGAGCCCAAGGGGGCTGGGGGCTTCACCCCAAACTTGAGGAAGCCACACCTGGGGGCCAGGATACAAGCGGGGGTCCCACTTTCCCCGCAGGAGCAGACCCCTTGGAGGGTCTATCTTTTGGAAATAAATTTAGACTAACAGGTTTTACACACAGAATCTTAGAGCTGGGAAAAGTCCTTTGTGTCATTCATGTAGCTTCGTAAGATTTTTTTTTTTAAATGAGAGGATGGATTTCCTTGAGCAAGAGTGAATTTCCAGGAATGGGTCCCTGGTTACCACAGACTGTTTTCGGGAAGAAAGATGAATCTATTCTGTGAACGCCTTATAGAACTTATTCTATATTGTAGTTCTCTCTGGAAACACATGTACCGTTGAGCTTTGTAACAGCCCTTAACATCCTCAAGAGAAGCTCTCATTTCCCCATTAATACTTGTTATAATCTGAATATTTGGGTCCCCCCAGCATTCACATGTTGACACCCTACCTCCAATGTGATGGTATTAGAAGGTGGATCTTTTGGGATTTGATGAGCTCATCGGGATGGAGCCCTCATGATGAGATTCTTATCCTTGTGAGAGGCATGAGAGAGCTGGCTTTTTCTCTCTGCTCTCTGCCCTGTGAGGACACAATGAGAAGTGGACAGTCTGCAACCCGGAAGAGAGTCCTCACCAGAAGGCGATGATCCTGGCGCCTAGATCTCAGACTTCCAGCCTCCAGGACTGAGAAATACATTTTTGTTGTTTACAAGCCCCCACCCCGCCCCGTTTATGGTACTTTGTGACAGCAGCCCAAACTGACGTAGCACTCTTTTCTTCAAGTACATCAAAGAATTTGTGGAGCCCATCCATTTTATGATACAATTTCCCAAATAACCAATATTCTCTCTATACACTGATTTGTCAACTTTTTTATTTATCAAAATTTTTATTAAAAAAGCTTCCATATTTTTTCCTAATAAATTGTTTCCAATCCAGGTTGTCACTGTAATGGTTCTATGATATTAATAATTTGAGCCCTAATACCTTGCTTAAAATATTCATTCGTGTTATGAATAAGTTCAGTGTTCAAATGCAAAAGTTTTAAAAGGATATACTGTGTAAAACATCTATGTCATCCCTCTGAAGGAAAGAAGGAGGGAAGAAAGGAAGGGAAGAAGGAAGGAAGGAAGGAAAAATCATTGAATTTGCCCTCAGTTTAGCTGCCACTTCCTAAGGGAAGCCCTTTCCAACTCCAGACCCCCAGGCATCACAAATACGCTCTCATGGGACCCTGTCCATAGTGTTGCCTGTCATGTTTCCTGAAAAGCTGCTTCTGAGACAAGGACAGACTTTCAGGAAGTTTTTTGGGGTGTGTTTTTGGGGATAAACATAGAATTACCATATGACTCAGCAATTCCACTCCTAAATCATTGAAAACAAACATTCAAATCTACGTACACATGTTTATAGCAGCACTATTCACAATAGAAAAATCATGGAAATAACCCAAATGCCCATCATTGGATGAATGAATAAACAAATTGTGGTATATACATACAGTGGAATAGTAATTCAGTCATAAAAAGGAATGGAGCCATTAAATATCAGTTACACGGCCAAAAACATTTTTTTAAGGAATGCAATACTAATATATATTACAGTGTGGGTGACTCTCACGAACACCATGCTAAGTTGAAGATGCCAGACACAAAGGTCATACACTGTATGATTCCATTTATCTGAAATATCCAGAATAAGTAAATCCATAATAGAAAGAAAGCAGATTGGTGGTCTCCAGGGCCTGGTAGAGAGAGCGAAGTAATATCTTCTCAATGGGTCCAGAGTTTCCTTTTGGGATGATAAAAATGTCTGGGGGAAAAAAAAATTTAATTGGAAAATGATTGATTAAAAACAAGTCTGTGGGGCATTTCTTGTTACTGCCTTTCCCAATTTTGACAATAAATGGTCAAGTACACAGTAAATGATCAAGTACAGCAGCCATGGTTTGAGAAAGAAATGATGACCAGAGCTCAGAACACTCACTCAGGGACGAGCGTGAGGGTCACCCCACGAAGTAAGCCATCCATTTTAGCAGAGATATTATCCAAGGATGAGGGGGATTGAGAATGGATAGCACAGGAGGGAGACAATGACTATCAGTTGTGGCCTTGAGGCCACCTACAGTAACAGAAGCTATAGTTCGACCCATTGACCCTCCTTTCACTAGTAGTTCATCTCAACTCACCCTCTCCCCTAAAAACGATCCGTGGAAACTATGAAAGAGTTGTTTCCAGAACTTATGCAAAGACGTTGATCCAAGTAAAGGCAACAAAAGCAAAAGTAAACAAGTGGGGCTACATCCAACTAAAAAGCACAACAAAGGAAACCAACAACAAAATGAAAACGCAGCCTACCAAATGGGAGAAAATTTTTACCAATCATATATCCTATAAGGGGTTAGTATTCAAATTATATGAAGAACTCATACAAAAAAATAGAAAAAATATCCAGCAAAAAAATGGGCAGAGGATCTGAATAGACATTTTTACAAAGAAGATACAGAGATAGTTAAAAAGGCACCTAAAATCACTAATCAGCAGAGAAATCAAACCACAAAGAGATGTCACCTCATTCATGTTGGAATGGCTAATATCAAAAAGACGGGAACGTGCTCGCTTCGGCAGCACATATACTAAAATTGGAACGATACAGAGAAGATTAGCATGGCCCCTGCGCAAGGATGACACGCAAATTCGTGCAGCCGCATAGCACAGGGAGATCAGCTCGGTGCTTTGTGACCACCTAGAGGGGTGGGATAGGGAGGGTGGGAGGGTGGGAGACTCTAGAGGGAAGAGATATGGGAACATATGTATATGTATAACTGAGTCACTTTGTTATAAAGCAGAAACTAACACACCATTGTAAAGCAATTATATTCCAATAAAGATGTTAAAAAAAAAAACAGACAGGAACTAACAAGTGTTGGCAAGGGTGTGGAGGAAAGGGAAGCCTTGGACTCTGTTGGTAGGAATGTAAATTGTTGCATCCAGTATGGAAAACAGTATGGAGGTCCTCAAAAATTTAAAAATAGAACTATCATACGATCCAGCAATTCCACTAGTTGGTATTTTTATGAAGGAAACAAACTATTCAAAATGAAACTATTCAAAATGAAATCAAAATGAAACCCCCATATTCATTGCAGCATTATTTACAGTAGCCAACACTTGGAAAACCCTGTGTTCATCGATGGATAAATGGATAAAGGACATTTGGCATATATATATGCCAAATTATATATATATATATATATGTGTGTGTGTGTGTGTGTGTGTGTGTGTGTGTGTGTGTGTGTGTATAATTCAGCCATGAGAAAGAAGCAAATCCTGCCATTTGTGACAACATGAATGGACCGTCAGGGTGTTATGCTAGGTAAAATATGTCAGACAGAGAAAGAAAAATCCTGTATGATCTCACTTTATATGGAATTTTTTAAAAAGCTCATAGAGGCAGGGCGTGGAGGGTGGGTGAAATGGGTAAAGGTGGTCAATATGTACAAACTGCCAGTGATAAATAAGTCCTGGGGATGTGACTATAGTTAATAATACCGTATTGCATATTTAAAATTTGCTAAGAGAGTAGATCTTAAAAGTCCTCATCATAAGAAAAACAGATTTCTACCATGTATGGTAATGGATGTTAACTAGACATACTGTGGTGATCATTTTTAAAATTGAAGTATAGTTGATTTACAGTATTATATTGTAATAACAATATATTAGAACCCAGTGATTCAATTTTTTTATAGATTATACTCCATTTAAAGTTATTATAAAACATTGGCTATCCTTATAGCTTATTTATTTTATGCATAGTAGTTTGTGCCTCCTCATCCCCTCCCCTCCCCCATCTTGCCCCTCCCCCCTTCCCTCTACCCACTGGTAACCACTGCTTTGATGTCTACATCTGTGCGTTCATTTCCTTTCTGTTACATTTATTGTTTATTTTTTACTTTCCACATGCAAGTGATAACATACGGTATTTGTCTTTCTCTGTTTGACTTATTTCACTAAGCATAATAGTGTTGCAGCAAAAATAGAAATGAAGTTTTTCCTCTCCTGAAAATAAGGAAAGTAAAGGGGACAGTGAACAGGCTAGAGAAGACACATAAACTGGCCTGAAAGAGTTAATAGATCCTAGTTTTATTTAAACTGTTACTAATCTGTAGTGTCTGTAACTAGATGTATGTTTCACAAAGCTAAATTACATCCTGTTCCTATCACTCCCTAGCTGTCAATGTAAATTACATCCTGCATCTGGTGCTTAAGCTCCCTGCACTGTCTTGTAGCAAGTCACCCTGTGTAGCTGTTTGCATTTCAGGGAGCAGATGGCAGGCAGATAAGGCAGAGGCAAATGAACCCAATTACCGGTCCGCGCGGGACCCAGTTACCGGACTGCCTGACGCCAGCGATGCCGGTTTTGAAATAATGCAAGAAGAAGAATGCAGGACCTTTACCACTTTGATCCTGATTACCACTCCCTGGACTGTGATGGCCGCCCGAGGGGCTGGGAGGCCAGCCGGGGCTTCCAGGCATGTGTGGGCATCGTGTGTGCAGCCAGCATCCCCGAGGCCTCGCTCGGCTCATCATCACTGAGTGAAGGTGCGCCGTGACAGCGCGGCCGACTTTCTTCTGGCGCTGTGAGGACCTGTGTGCATTGCAGGATTCGGTGCCTCTGCCCGCCGTGGGCGCCTCCCTGCGGGAGGGCTTGCTGGACTTCAACAGCCACCGCCTGCGCGGGGTGGACAGGGCGCTGCCCCTGAGCACCCTCTGCCCCCGATCTGTATCCAGAGCTTCTTCGAGCCATGGCTTGGCGAGATGGGTTTGTACTTTCCGCTTCCAGGGGCTCTCGTGTCGGCGCTGCGAAGCGGAGTTTTAGATGGTACAAGGTGGAGGGTGGGCACTAGAACCAGTGCCCGGGTGTGCGTGCACTAGACGGGGCGTGCGGCCTACGACTCCTGCCGGCTCGGTGACCCCGGCCGAGTGCCTTAAGGCTTCTAGGTCTCAGTGTTCTCAACTATAGCATGGGCTTAACAGGACTCACTCTCTGTGGCGGTTACAAGGTCACACTCTGTTAATGCTTGTAGACTCTACAATGTAGAACACTTAGCACAGTTTGGAGCATCGTTCATTGTTCCACAGATATTACCTGGTCTGTTGAATGACTTTGCCTGGTACACACCAAAGCGATTAGGAAATTGATATATACCAGCTTCATTTCCTTTTCATTAAAACAGGGCTCAGGAAAAAAAAAATTTTTTTTCAATAGTCCTATCATATAGTGGAAAGAGCACTGGTGTGAAGGCAGCTTAGGGTTTGAATTCCAGAGTTTATGCTCTCTGTGGCCTGGGAAGGTTTCTTTTGCACTACAATCCCCATACTTATAAAATGACCTTAAAAACCACCCTTTCTGTGGGTTCTTAGAATTAATTACGCAGGTTATGTGTGTAAAGTATCCTGGCACTTGAATGAGTGGTCAGAACCAAGGGCTGCTGGAGAGGATGCTTCTGCCCTAGGTAATCTCCCCTTCTACTGGGCGGCAAGTAAACATAAGCACAGTAGTCTGTGCTCTGGAAGAAGTGGGTTCTGGTGCTACAGAGCACAGAATCTTGTTTTTTTTAATTTAATTTTTATTTTATATTGGAGCATAGTTGATTTACAATATTGTGTTAGTTTCAGGTGTACAGCAAAGTGATTCCGTTATACATATATCCATTCTTTTTCAGATTCTTTTCCCATACAGGTTGTTACAGGATATGGAGTAGAGTTCCTTGTGCTATGCAGTAGGTCCTTGTTGATTATTTATTTTATATAGAGTCGTGTGTATATGTTAATCCCAAACTCCTAATGTATCCCTCCCCACTACCTTTCCCCTTTGCAGAGCACAGAATCTTGGAAGGGAAAGTTCAGGGTAGGCTTTTTGGAGGAGGTGCCATCCTTTCTAAGGATATGTAGAAGCTCCTGGGGTGGCAGGAGGGAGCAGCGTGTGTCAGAGTTGGAGAAATATAAGAAAATATGGCAAAACTAAGATACAGGACTGGAACTCAGGGTTTAGGAAAGAAATGAGAGTTGATACTGGAAACCTAGTGGGGCCCAACAGAAAGGGGCCTTGTTTGTCCTGTCAGAAGTTTAGATGTTTACCCTGAAGGCCGTGGGAAACCCTAAAGAACAGTGAGATGGACTTCTGGCTTAGAGACTCACTCAGACCTCCATGTGGAAGGCACTTGATTGGGTGCAGGATGAGTTGTAATCTAAGGGTCCCACTTAAGTTATAAAAGCTTGAACTGGATTTTGCAGATCCAAGAGAGAATGGGTGGGGCCTGGTGACCAGTTAGAAAAGGAAGGGCAGCAAGTGTGGGTGACAGTTTACAGCTGCATCTTTTTGTGAGATACAGAGCACAGTAGGAAGGGATTGGGGGTGGGGAGAGGATCTTACTTCATCTTCAGTGCTTTAGAGGGGCCTGGTAGACGGGTCTGGGCCCAAGGTACAGATCTGGGCTTTTTGGGAGGACAGGTATTTGAAGGCATTGGAGATACTTAGGTTACCCACAAGAAGATCCAAAGAATCATAGGTCTGAGGGCTTTTTAAGTGGGTATATTGAGGATGTTTATAAGCTGAAAGAAAGTAGCCAGCAGAGAAAGGGTGTTAAGATCTAGGAGAGGAAATGATTGTTCATTTGTTTTCAAAAAGCTGAATACTTATCGTGAGCCTGGCCCTTTTCTAGGATCTGGGGTTCACACCATGTGTTATCTCTTCTGCAAGGACAGTTCAACTCATCCCCTGGTGAAAAGAAATCAGATTTTTCTTTGCATCCCATTCAGGTGTAGGAACTGTTCCGTACCTCTGAAGGGACTTTACTTAACCAGAGTAATAAGTTAGAAATCAAAAGAAATTAGAGCTGGAAGGGACCTTAAAGGCCACTGTACTTAATTTTGCCTAATATTTTACATTGATTGTAAGAAAAATTTATTGCAGAGCCCATTCTCTTTAGAGTTCCTTCACTGAACTTTCTTCATGTCTTGCATCCAGTGGGGCTAGCTTGTAGATTTTGGCCTGCTCCTAAATTTGCTTCTTCATCCACATTGCATTTTGTCCAGACTATGGCAGAAGCTCCTGGGTGGTTTCGCGGGCCCTGGACTCAGTTCCTCTAAGTTCATCTGCCTACTGTGGTTGAGTGATCTTCTAACATGAAAAGATACGCCTAAAATAATGCTGCTAATGGCTTGCCCACACAGAGTTAGTGCATACTAGCCGCCCAGCGTGTGCTCTGCCCAGAGGCGTGTAGTCTGAACTGTACTCTACCAAGCCTCCTGGGGCTCTTTGGCCCTGAGGAAGGGGAGCTTTTTGTGATCACTCCCTTTATCTAACTGGTCCTTCAGCAGCAGGGTGCCTTTTGCTAATCAGCGGAGGCACCCTTACTCAGCCAGTGGTAGCCCCGGGCCTCATCACCTGTGGGATACAAGCCATGCTCTCTCCCAGGCTTGATTCGACCAACGTCTCTATTTTCTGTCCCTTCTCACACTTGGACCCCTGGCCTTTAGTCATCCCCACCTGCAGTATTTACAGTGCCCAGCAGGAGTCAGGCTTGAGTGTCTTTGCACAGGTGCTCCCTCTGCAGTTGATGCACCTCCTCCTCCAACTCTGCATAGCCTCATCTTTCTCGATTGTACTTCAGGGTTATCATGAAGCCGTCACTTAGACATAACTTTTTGCCTCCATAGGAACCTCTGTGCATAAAGGTTATGGTTCTTTATCTCATGTGATTGAAATTTTGAGTTTATACATGTCCCTCCTTAATGAGGCTTTAAGGGTAGGAGTCGTTTCTAATCCTTAGCACAGAGCAGATGCTTTTTTTTTTCTTTTTAGATGCTTTTTAACGGTGATAAAATGTATGGTTTAAATCACTCATTTTACAATAATTTTGCTTTAGGTTCTGACAGAAATAAAGTTTCCAGAAGTTGTGTTCCTGCAATAAGAAATAAAGATGTGACCTTCCAGTTGTGTAAAGCTCTTAGACGCTGTGTAAGTGCGTCAGGTGCGCTAAGGAACCTGGAGCTAAGTGGGCTGGTTGTGAGAGAGAGAGACGTAACTATGTTAACAAAGGTAAGCCTTCATTGTGTCCTGCCAACATTTGATAGTTGCTTTTGGGGCAAACTAAAGGGGTAAAATTTTAGACTGTTCCTCCCCGTTAAAGGGATTGACTAAATCGGCCACTTTGGGGCACCTGTGTCTTGTGAATTGTCCAATTGGAGATGGAGGTTTAGAAAGTGAGTTTCAGTCTTGTTTAAGTCTCTTCCCATCAGACTGGTCTCGTGATTTCCTACACACCATGTTACTTCCTGTCTACCTTTTCTTGGTGTTGTTCATGCCTGGATTGTCTCCTGTACCTGCTCAAACCTTGGTCCATTCTCATTTGTACCATGGATACTGGTATGGATACATGTACCATGGATACATGTCATGCTGGATATTGTCAGAATTAATATTAAGTTTGTGTTAAGCCACAAACCACATGTTTTGTATATTTTCTGTTTTTTGTGTTTGTTTATATTTTTATGGTTTCTCTTCAAGAAATATTACGGGAAGGGAAATAGCAAGATATAAAGAGCAAAAAAGTCATCATGATCTTTAAATTGTTAGAACATGTATCTGCAATCATAATTATAATGCACTGTGGTATGTGTTAAAATAGGAAATATATGTAATGTCCTGTAGGAGCAGCAAATTCAGTGGTGTTGGTGAGGGTGTGTCATGGAAGTAATCACAAAGCAGGTGACTCTTGATTGGGGTCCTGAAACAGTGTGTGTTCCCTGTGTCCAGTAGTGGTCTGGAGGGGTCAGGAAGCCTGCCTTTCAATTTGAGGGAAGAGAGGGTTTGAGGTCCTCTCTCTTCTATTGCTCTAGTATACTGCATAGCAGCTAATAAAATACTGGGTTTATAGTTGACATTTAAGTCGCTGATTGATCATCAAGATTGGCATGTATCATTGGAAATGAAAATCAGAAGAGTCTTATGCTTTTTAGGTTCTTCTTTTTTTTCCCTTTGTCTCAAAAGTATATAGTACTTTACTGAGTGGTTGGGAATAAAGTTTGCAGTATTCAGTGTATTCAATTTTAGTACCTAAATAGAATTAAACTGTTGCTGTAAACTGGAATAACACTTTGTTACTGACAAGTTTTAGAATGCATCAGTTCATCAATTACCTGTTTGGGAAGATTGCAGTTAATGATTTTAAGAATGTGGCTATAAACCTCCAATTGACTGAAGAAAAGCAAATAAATCAAGATTGACAAATGTATAGGCTCTTCATCTTATTGTGTGTGTGGGTTTTTATTTTCCTTTTAGTTATTTGTCAAGGTATAAAGAACTCTGTCACTCTTAAGACAGTAAACTTCACAGGGTATAATCTGACATGACAGGGAGCAGATCACATGGCCTAGATCTTAAAGGTGATTTTATGTTTAAACTTTCATGAAAACATGTGATTGAAGCACATTAACATATTGATACAGATGGCAGTTAATTTCTGTCTTTTAATACATGTGAGTGCATCTTCTGTTTTGTTGAAAGAATCTGACCAAATGGTAATGTGAATTGCTGTTGCATAAAGAATAGTGTTGAATCCCCAGTCTTTGCACTTGAGTTTAACAACTCTGTGGTTTTCTATCTTCTTCCTGAGACACTTAATCTCAGGTCCATCCTCGTCACACAGAGTGGTAAATTAGAGAACGATTGATATCACCATTTACAGAAGTGAGAGTGAAATCTCAACCATCCTGAACATAGGAACTGAAGGGGCCTCTCAGCAGTTCAGAGAGTTATTACCAAGCTAGTCAGCTGAATTCTGTTCAGTTTTCTCCGTAGCAGAGCCTTCCAGGTCCTTCTTTTGAGCTTATTTTTTTTATACACAATTCTGTATGGATACTGTACATAATAGCAATAGTTGTATTAACTGGGTTTAACTGGTGATGTATTTACATCAAGATCTTGTTTTACAGATGAGAAAATTGACAGTTCTAGTTGAACTCTCTTTTTACAAGAGGAAAATATGTTCTCATTTTAAATAAAAATAAAGTTGAAAAAAGTTTTGATGTTGATATTCTCCTTTCCTAAAATAAAAAATATCAAGAAGCTACATTCTATTACCAAATAAACCTGACCTCTAATGTCATTCCATAATTTTGTTTGTATGGACAGAAAAGAAAAATTGATTTTCATAAGAAATTTTCGCACCTCAAAAATAATATATTTATTTTATTTCAACTTTAATGAAGAGCTGAACATTTCTAGTAAATAAAGGAACACCATTTGGGGGGGACCTTGTCTTTGTGCTACAAAGTCCATGTTTAATTTTTAAAAATCATTTAATATGATTTTCTTTTCGTATGAAACATGACTGGTTTCAGAACTAATTATCCCATTATTGTAGGACTATGGGAATTAACTCTTTGATTTTCAAAAGAGAAAGTTAGATTTTTATTTTTTTAATTAAAATTAATGATAATATAGAGAAATTTTAAGAAAAAAACTTAGAAAATTATGAAATGTTAGAGTAGGAGAAATCTATAGTTCATGTAGAGTTACCCTCTTTCATTTTATAAATGAGCACCTACAATTTGTAGCACGTAAGTGGCTTATTAGTAAATGGCAGAGTACGACAAGACCCTAGAGCATCTAATCCGCATTCCTTGTCATTTTAGGTGTGTTGTATTCATTTCCTTCATGAGTAGACCAGGAGATTGTATTTCTAATAGTAATGATAGACACTGGGGAAGACCAAGAAGTTTACACACTGGGACCACAGAATAGCAGATTCAAAATGCACTGAGAACCCTTTCAGCTCTTCTCCGTTTTGACAAGACACTACAAGGATGGTATCAAAGTGTTTAAGTATATAAGCCCACAACAATCAAGAGATTTCAACACAGTTTTGAAAGACGGAAGACAAGTGGAAGAGTGTGAAACTGAGGCAGTAGAACAGAGGAAAAGCATCAACTAGAACATGCACAGGGACCACCTGCAACTGAGGAGGATTCTGACCCCACCTGCAGAAGTAGCCCCATGCTCAGATGCGCATGTAGGAGAGAGGGTGGAGTTAGTTAAAAGTGTGACTGAAATAGGGGAGCTCATTGAAGGGTTGTGTTTGGAGGAGTGGACTCCCAGCCCTGCCCTCACGCTCCTGAAATGAGATGCTTTCATTTTGAAAACAGTGAAACTGGCGAGAACTAGGGCAGCTAGTGTGAGTTTTCACACCCTAGAAAATTGTGTTTGCAGGAGATCCTATTACAGTTACTCCCCGCTTCTTCCTGCATAAGAAACCAATCAATCGTTGACTTCAGGGAGCTTTCTGCACTCATTCTTAAATAGAAAATAACTGTCATTTGCCTGATAGTTGAGTAAAGCTTACAACATGAGAGAGGGGGACAAAGTGTGAAAACATATCCTGGTAGGACCGGGGACAATTTAGGGAACAAAATAATTTAAGAAAAAACCCTAATTAGTATTCTGAGGGAGATTAAAAAGGGCTAGCAACTATAAAATAAGACTAGGGTGTTAATTAAAAAGAGAATGGTCAGAAAGCAAGAGAGGTCTCTTGGAAATGAAAATATGGTTGCTGAAATAACTTCAGTAGGAATTAAAAAAATTTCTCATTATATAAAAAAGAAAGACACAATGGAAAATGTGATAGCAATATGTTAGAGAGGCTGCATCTGGGAGATGCAACATGTAACTATTAGAAACTCCAGACCCAGAAAAAAAATGGAGGGAAGCTGTCAAAGGGCAACAAAATTCCCCACAGCTGAAAGTAGACATCAGGCCTCTGATTGAAAATAGTTACTCAAGTTTTGAGCAAGATGAACAAGAATAGACTCATACCTAGGCACCCTTCATTATGAAACTTTAAAATACTGAAAAAATAAATTAACATAGAATAAAATACTGACAGGATACATCCATTCCAGAGAGAAAAATACTGGTCACCTAAAAAAAAAAAAGTTAAAATCTGACTTTATCATACTTGTCATCAGCACCATGGATCCTGGAAGGCATTAGAAAGATACCTCCAAAGTTTTTCAGGCACATAATTTTCACCCTAGGGGTTTGTATCTAGCCAAACTATCAGTCATAAGTGGAGGCTGAAGAAGATATTTTGTACAGAAAGAAATTTGAAAAATTGACCTCCTGTGCTACACCTTAAGCTTTTTATAGAAATAATCCAGCAAAATGAGGCAATAAACCAAGAAGGAAGGTAATAGGGGATTCAGTGCAGAGAGCAGCTAGTCTAGATTGAAGAGGCTTCTATTGATTGTGTGATTGAGAGCTTAGAAACACCTTGAGGCATATCGTACTTACTAGGTATTAGGCACTGTTGGAAGGGAAGAGGGAGAGGAAGAGGAGAAGGAACTTGAACTCCAGAGGAAAAAAGGCTATACTGACATAAACCTGAAGGAAACTAAGCTATGGTTGATTTTTAACCTACTATTGGTGAGGAAGAGAAGAATCCACTTACACTTGACACTATAGATGTCCCCCTTTTCAGCGACACACGGGGGTAATGACCACCTATCTAATTTGTTGTTCAAACCAGAACTTGTCCAAACTCCTTACACTTCAATAGTGTAAGGAGGCGCTCTAATGCTGTAACATCAGGACAACAGGTATAAACTGGAACAGCCCAAGGCGGCTTGGGGTATGTGGTCAGCCTGCACAAGGGCAGTGACACTGACACAGTATGGAACGAGGTGTAGTCTATACACAGAGACAGTACATCTGCAGTGGGCAATATTAATTTCATTGTAATAATGGCAATACTGTCTTGGTTTGCAGCTTTTATTGTCAACTTGCATGTAATAACAAATAACTAACCTAAACTATACTTAGTATGTATTTGCATTAACTTGGTATGTACTGAAATGTACTAGTATGTACTTAGTATATATTAGGCTCTAAGTGTTTTTGCATATATTAACTCACTTAATCCTCTGAATAGCCTTATGAGGTTGGTGCTAATATCATTCCCACTTTTGTGAAAAGGAAGCTAAGACAGGGAAGGAACTTGCCCAGGCTGTACCTAATTTAGGGTTGGATCGAGGCTTTGAGTT